AGCTCGGAGCCTGGAGCCTATTTCAGAGTCTGTGTCTCACTCTCTCTCTGACCCTCCCCTGCTGGCGCGCTCTCTCTCTCTCTCTCTCCTAGAAATAAATTAAAAAAAAATATATTAAAAAAAAATCCTAACAGTGGATGCATCCAATATCTGCATCTATTACATCAGGGCCCGCTGACTCAGGAAGCTACAGGGGCCCCCAGAGGTGCCATAAGGGTGTGGTGGAGACATGGCGGCTGGAAGGGCACGTGTTCCTGGTGCATAGCTGCTTCCCGTTCCCAGCAATCCCTCCCACAGTGGGATTGCAAGCATGACTGTCAGCTACCCCAGGTTTTCAGGAACCTGGAGATCCAGATGTTCACACGAAATCTCTTCTTTTAAAATGTGTTGAGGGGCGCCTGGGTGGCTTAGTCGGTTAAGCGTCCGACTTTCGCTTAGGTCATGATCTCGTGGTTCGTGGGTTCGAGCCCTGCGTCGGGCTCTGTGCTGACTGCCAGCTCTGAGCCTGGAGCCTTTTTCAGAGTCTGTATCTCCCTCTCTCTCTGACCCTCCCCTGCTCACGCTGTCTCTCTCTCTCTCTCTCTCCTAGAAATAAATAAAAATATTTAAAAAAATGTGTTGATAAAACAAAAACAAAAACAAAAACAAAAAAACACTGGCTGGCACAGAAATACCAAACATATTTGTGGGTTGGATCTCAAAACCCTCTCATTGTCAGTCTGCAGCCTCTGTACGAGATCATTTTTGCCACAATCCTAGGGGCAGTATGTTAGTTCACATAGCATTAGCTACTGTGAGAGAGAGACCACCAAATAAATCACAGTGGCTTTACACCGTAGTTTTTCACTCACATAAGGTCCAATTAGCAGCAGGTTGGGGGAAGGGCAGAGAGTTCTGTCAACCCTCCCATGTGGCTTCCAAGACCCCCCAGGCATTGCTATCCAGTAGGCATTAATATCCAATGGGCATTAATACCCAATGGGAAGACAGTGAAGAGAGCAGAGGACTTTGTGGGAGGTTTATATGGGTGGCAGCTCTCCTCACTTATGCCTTTCTTCCATTGGCCAGAACTCAGTCATGTGTTCGCCTCACCTAAATGTGAAGGGGAGCCGGGAAATGTAGTCTCTGGCCTGGGACAGCCAGTTTCAACACAAACTGTCCTAGAGACTGGGGATGCACACTTCTGGGGGCAGTTACCCATCACTGCCCCATGCAATTATCATCACCTCCATTTTACAGATGAGGAATGAGCCTGTGACCTGTGAGAAGTCTCGAGCCAGGAGCACAGTCTTTCTGACTCCAATCCAGGGATCTTTCCTCCACCTCAGTGTTTCCCAAAGTTGCCATTTCCTAAGAGTCGCCCATGGCACTTGTTAAACATTCAAGTTCCTGAATGTTCAGGGGAACATGGAGTAACCTGTATTTTTATCAAGAATCCCAGATGATTCTTCCCTCACACTCCACAAGAGGGGCTTCCCCTCAGAATCATTTGGGGAGCTTTGCGAGGTGACGCTAACCCCTAGAAATTCTGATTCAGGGGGTCTGCAGGGAGGCGCCCTGACATTGACATTTTATAATTCTCCCAGGTGATATGCAGCTAGGGCTGGGAAACTCTGCTCCCATACCAAATTAGGCTGGTCAGTGTTTCAAACTAAAGCAGTGAGAGAGAGTGAGAGAGAGAGAGAAAGATCAGTAAGTGAGTCTCTACCCTGAGAATCAGCATTTTAAAAAACTCTTCCCATGATTCTAATGTGCTGTCTAGCTTGAGACCTTGTCAATAAATGGACCAGAAGATTGAATCCGTTTGTTTGGAGTAAGCCAAACTTTCTGTATTTTGAAAGCTCCTCCAGGGTACTATGATACCACTGCCCTAGGGTTTTGCTACTCAGAGTATCTCCTGAAGTATCAGCACACAGCTCTGGGAGCTTGGGAGAAATGCAGAATCTCAGGTTCTACCCCAGACCTCCTAATTTAACCCCCCAGGAGATTAGCACACGCATTAGTGTGGAAGGCACTACTCCAGGCACACAGGCTCTTTTTGGGAGGACAGCCAATTAGGTCCTTCAGTCGGGGCCGGCTCATCTTCTCTCTGTCCCCGTCCACCCTCCTGAAGCTGTAGGAAGTTTTCTAGTGTCACTAGCATAATCTGTCCTCAAAGGTCTGGGCCTTGATGCCCCCGCGCTGTGGCCATCTGTTCATGGACACTTTGTTTCGTATGCGCATGCGCAAGGTTTGATGCATCAACAGGGGACTTGCAGGCCTATCTTGCCAGGGAAGGACATCACAGATGCTGGGTACTGTCTTGGGGGCAGACCATGGGATTGGGTGCCTCACCTGAAGATCTAAAGCTCTTTAGATCTGTAGGTTGGAAATGAAGGCCGACTTGCTTTGTGAGGTTCTGGGACCAATCAGAGGAGCCTACAGAGAGGGAGGATGCAGTTCAATAGAGGAAAAGGTTTCAAACAAGCAGAGTTCAAATCTAGGGTAGTAAACTTCCTGTTCTCTGAGGAGGACAAACAAATGTGGAATGGTCTCCATTCAGGGGCACCTGGAGGCAGCCTCTGGATGGTACGTGAACTGGAAGGAGAACTCTCCTCCATGCAGGCCCTCGGAGGCTGGAGGCTGGGTCAAGAATTGCTTGGGAAGCAAAATGATTCAGGGTTCTTCTGTGAAGAAGAATCACACATGAAGGTAGTTTGCTTAGACACAAATGATGGTTTCTGTATGAAATAATTTCTGTGTTGATCTCTACTAGTTTGAAAGCTGGAGGTCAGTGGCTGGGCTGCCTGCAGAGCCCACAGCACCTGGCACGGATGCAGCAGCAGCTGTCCAGTAAATAAGTGTTAACTTACAAGTAAATGGCTGAAAGCGAGCATTAATCTATTTGTCTCTCATTGGTGATTTCTGTGCACTGTAGGACAATGTGGCATCCTTTTTTGCCCTTTAAAGTATCTTTGTCAGGTGTTCAATTTGTCCATTTTTCTGCTGGCTTTCTCATTAAGTGCTAATTCTTTTTCATCCAGCTTCTATCTGCATGGTATTCCTTGTAATGGCAAAACAACTCAAATATCCTAAATGGCCCACCAAAGGGGGTTGTTAAATCATTCCGGGGCTCTCTTCCCACAAAGCTCATCCAACAATCCAAGTTAAGTACCTCTTATCTGGAAGGATCCCAACAAGATGCCAACAGCATGATCTCCAAGCCAGTGTTCTCCACGAACTACTTTGTGCTTGGCTGTACCTTGTTTTGTGTGTGTGTGTGTGTGTGTGTGTATGTTTCCTGTTCTGAACATCTACTACTTTTGAATAAGAAAAACCAACCAGCAGATATTGGACTGGTTTTAAACTCTATTTTAGATCTCTCTTTTATTTTAGCCAGCTTTATCTAGTTGGCAATGTTATTATTTGAGAAAATTGCACATTGAAAAACAGAGTGAATGCTTCCAATAACCATTTAACAAGGAAGCTGAGGCCCAGAGAAAGAGAGTTATCTGTCCCAGGGTTTATGAGACAAGAGCAGAACTCAGCCCGATTTGCAGATGGGTGTTCTTTCTCATAGATCACTCCCTTCCCTTCCCTTCCCTTCCCGTGATGGTTCCCATGAACCTCTCCCTGTTTTCTCTCACGAAGATAGCAATGCAGGGGTGTCTCAGGCATTCTTGGCCTTACAGATTGGATGCTTCATTTCACTGACATGACTTGCGTGGATTCCAGAGTGGAGAGGGCCCATCACACCAGGCAACCTCCACACTGCCTTTGCTCACTGGTTAACATAACAGGTCGCAGATTAGAAGTCCTGTCCCTGGCATGAGGCCAGGAGCTGTCTGCCCACATTGTAAGTCTGCTGTTGGGTGATCTGCAAAGGCTGCAGGCAAGTCTGTGCCATTTCTGCCACGTGGGGCACTTTCTGGGGAGCACCCAGGATTCTTGAGAGGTTCTCCATGCACACTTCCTCCAGGCTGGCTCCGGCTCCTGTGAGCTAAGTGAAAGGTGTAGGGCACTTCTCCAGGGGTCCTTGACATGCTGAGCAGCTCTTAGGACTGGGCTCCATTCCTTTTCCATTTGACAGGACCCAGCAGAGGGAAGGTGAAAGCATTCATGCCGCATCAGAACCTATGCCAGCAGCTTCAGGCTCTGCAGGAGCACCAGGGGCCCGGCTCAGCTGTGGCAGGCTGGGAAATTCACAGAGTGAATAGATCTCAGGGTTCACAGCTGAGAAACGAGCATGAGGATTTTTTGTGTTTTGTTTTCCTGGCATTTGGGCAGATGAGTTCATGGTGGGTATTCTAGGCGTTCTGAAGTCAGCTGCAAAATACATTTCATTTTGGGGCCCTGGTCTGTGATAAAGAATATCTATGGGCTAATATGATTCTTAGAGGTGGCTCCTGGGTCTGAGTGTCCACTGGGAGAAGGTGCTTTGGAAGTGCAGTAGAGAAATTCTGAAGGCCAGAGGATGAGAGACTTGAACCTGAAACATTGACAGATTCTCAAGGCCCACACTGAGGAATTATTTCTACACTTTATCAGGGAAAGACAAACAGGCACTTACATGACTTTTTTTTTTTTTTTTAATGTTTATTGAGAGCGAGCACCTGTGGGAGCAGGGGAGGGGCAGAGAGAGAGGGAGAGAGAATTCCAAGCAGGCTCTGCACATCAGCGCAGAGCCCGACACGGGGCTTGAACTCACAATCCATGAGATCATGACCTGAACTGAAATCAAGAGTTGGGCATTTAACCAACTGAGCCACCCAGAAGCCCCTACATGGCTAAATCTTAAGGACAGATTGCATAGTAATAATCAAAGAGGTGTTGCTTTAAGAAAAATCTTCAGTGGCTTTACCAGACAATTATAAAACTGAGGCTCAGGGAGTGCGGTATTTGCCCGAGGGCCCACAATGGGGAGCCAAGTCCCAGAGTCCACTCCCCTAGAGTCACAGGAGCAGGTCCCGGCCACAGGCTCTAACAACCAGGGGCCCACCACACCTGCCCAGTGCTCCTACCTGTGCCCTTCAACTCCTCTTCAGCAGAGCCGGTACTCCTGCCCTCAAGGTCATTTTCCTCCTTCTGGCTCACCTTTGTTGCAGGCAAAGGTCAGGCTTTAGGTTTGAGATCTGACCCTGTCACTCCCCAGTTCAACTAGTGGCTTCGCCTCTCTGGGCCCCATCTGTAAAATGGAAATAATGTACCTAACTCCAGAACGGTTTTGAGACTCACAGCAATCACATTTATGAACACATTTTGTAAAATATAAAGCACTTAACAATGTTAGTTGACTTTATTTTTTTTAATGTTTATTTTTGAGAAAGACAGAGCAAGAGGTGGAGGGGCAGAGAGAGAGACACACACACACACACACACACATACACAGAATCCAAAGCAGGCTCCAGGCTCTGAGCTGTCAGCACAGAGTCCGATGTGGGACTCAAACCCATGAACCATGAGATCATGACCTGAGCCAAAGTCACACACTTAACTACTCAGCCACTCAGGTGCCCCTAGTTGATTTTTACTAGAGCAAAATAAAACTCTAGCTCTCTTCCCATTGGGTTGGTTAGAATGAACACTGCTGGGGTGACTGAATGGAAACTGGAATCTGAAACATCGTACAAAGATGTGCAATATATTGCAATGTGCCGAGAAGGCCACACAGAGTTCAGAAAATGGGTCAGTCCACCTAAGCTAGTACCTTACCTGAGTCAGGTTCTCGTAGAACTTTTACTGGGCTCTGGGACCTGTGCTGTCAAAATGCTAAACATCTTAGGGCAGAGGAACAGGGAAACAAGTGAAGGTATTGCCAGCACCATGGATTGTATTTCTACTCACAGGAAAATGGACAGGGCAGTAAGCAAGTTAATAGTCCTTCTAGGGTTTATGGGAGTGCTCAGTTAATTTATTAACATTATAAAAAGTAAGGTATGCAGAAGCACGTGGGGCAAAGTTCCATCTCCTACCATCCCAGTGAAATGCAGTAAAGCCTTGTAAAGAATAGCAGCAACAGGGGCGCCTGGGTGGCTCAGTCGGTTAAGTGTCTGACTTCGGCTCAGGTCAGACTTCGGCTCAGGTCATGATCTCATGGTTCATGGGTTCGAGCCTCATGCTGGGCTCTGTGCTGATAGCTAGCTCAGAGTCTGGAGCCTGTTTCGGATTCTGTGTCTCCCTCTCTTTCTGACCCTCCCCTGCTCATGCTGTCTCTCTCTCGGAAATAAATAAAAAACATTAAAAAAAAAAAAAAAGAACAGCAGCTACAATGGGCAGACTTAAGCTCATGCTCATACTGGAGAGGGTATAGTGAGGGGTCCCTGAGTGTGTGAGTGGTTGCTAACCTTGCCTTTATGTAATTTCTCAGTACGTTGCTGGAGACTTTAAAGATCCCATCCCTTCTTCAGGCATAAAATTCTACTCTAAGAAAAGAATCAGGCTAGTGGTCAGATGTAGATATAGACACACACAAACACAAATTTTATATGCACATATACACATAAAGAAGGATTTTCAGCTCCGAACTCTTTATTATAGCAAATGTACACACACCAACTGTCCAAAAATAGAGGAATGGTCAACTACAGAAGAAATTGTGAATATATTTAAATGATGGGCAATTATACAGTCTTGAAAATCATGTTTTTGAGGAATATTTGTGACCTGGAAAATGCTTACAACAGATAATCAGAAGACACAGAATATTAAACTGTATTCACTTTATCAGCAATTAAAATACATACATTTAAAATAACAGTAATATTAATAATGGCAGCTACGAGGCACTATGAGTCAGGCAGTGTCCTAGCCCATTATTGACTCAATTCTGTCCAAGCCCTCGGAGATGGGTACTATCATTATCCCCATTTTTCAGAAAAGTACACGGAAGCACAGAAAAGGCTTGGACAGGATGTCCAGGGCCACACTCAGGGGTGGGTGTGGTGAAGACAGACTGTTAACAGAGTGGGTCTGGCTCTTAGGCACCCTGCAGCCCTGCGACAAAAATGCTCACAGTCATTCCCACGTCCTGGGGCTGAAGGACATTCGATTTTCTTCTTTATATTTTCGAATTTTCTATAGAGGCACATTTTTCTTTTGTGAAAATTATCTTTTATTAAAAAAATAATGTATTATACATTAAAAATACTTCCAAAGTACCAGGGGTATGAAATAACCTAGGAGCCAGATGGATGGGAGGTGGTGAATCAGATCCAGTTTGATCCAGCACAGTAGAAAGGAATCAGAAAAGGCCAGAAGACTAGGCTCAGCGGGAAAGATAACTCATTAGATTCTGAACACATCTCATTTCACCAGGTGTTGTGGAACATCCATGTAGAGGCAACCAGCAGGACACAGGACACAGAGGTACGGTGAGGGGTGCAGGGGCCAAGGGCAGGCTGCCCCAAGATGGCCATTTTGACAAGATTATTGTGAGCCAAAGTCAATGGAGACCCTGTGAGCTCAAGAGAAACTTTTGCCCCTCCCTTAACCATACAGCAGAATCTAAATTGGGGATCTTTCCCAGAACATGGGTTCTTAGCAGAGATAAACTTTATCTGAGTGACCCATCTGCATGGCAGGACAGACATCTCATTACCAACATCTACTTTTCTCATCACCCTGGGAAGCGCATTCTTTTCCTCTGAAGTCCCATGCTCCTGCCTTCTTCTTACTTCAGGATGACATATGCATTCATTCTGGCTGGCTGTGTGGAACCCTGGACGTATGTCCCCAATCCCTTTCTTTGGGTGACAGCAACCCATCTTTTCCTTTGGAGAAGTACCCTACCTGTTCTCTGTAGTGCTTGTGAGATGGGCAATCAAAGTGCCTGGCTATCCAAGAAGTGGGCACATCTATCAAGCTAAAGGAGAACATTTCTTGAGGTCAAAACCTGTACTTCTGTTGCAGACGCTTCGCAATTCTTAGTGAGCCCGCAGCGCCCCCAGCCACTTAGTGAGTGGCCTCTGCTGCTTGGGGAGCCACTGCTCAGCGCTGAGTCTGAAATTTCATTTTCTTGAGTCCATAGTGAGATAAGAGTCTTAAAATCTGGCTTTTGGGGGGAGAAAAAAGGGTGTCCTCATTTCCAAACTCTTTATAGATCAAGAGCACAAACTGAGGGTGGTGAGAGGATAGAGACTTTCTAGAAGTCACAGTGTGGAGGTGACGCACTAAGATTAAAGACAAGTTCCCATACAAAGCCCTTCTGGGCCTGCCCGGGAGAAAGAGAAGCACAAGAATTCAGATGCAAGTGGTCTGGCCCCGCCCTTCTCTAAGGCCAAATCCCTTGCATGGGGCTCAGAAGCATCTAGACAGGCTTGGAGGACACGGGTGCCCCATTCCCCGAGCACAGCCGGGGGAGAGCACAGGCCGCTCAGAGAAGACCCACGCTGGCTGGGCCGCGGCACCAGGTTGGCACCCAGGCTGTACAAGCAGCCCCCGGAGAGGACGTGAGTGACAAGAGATCTTCCCTCTCCTTCACCAGTCACCATGTTAGGGACCTGGAAGTGTACGCCTGTCCCAGTGATGCAGAGTAGATGAGGAAAGGTCAGGAGACAAGCCGTGAGGACTGCGGCACACAAGGACCTCGTGACTACAAACACTGGCACTTTCCATGATTTTGCTGAGGAACGAAATCAAGCCAGCTCCATCTTGGTGGGCCCCACCAGAATCCATAACGCCTAGGGACAAGTCTAGGGCAGCCACACTGCAGCAGAGACCTGCAAAGGGGAGGGAACACATCTGAACCACAAAGCTCATCTGCTGCCCCCTCCTCCTACCCAGATGCCACCCTGGGTGGGGGAGGAGGGAGAATGGAAGGAGAAGAGGGAGGGGAGAAAACTCTGAAATACTGCATATTTGCACAAAACTGTGTGTGATCTGGAAGGGAGGGGAGCCCCCCAGGGTTGGGAGGGATAGAAGTCTGAGCAAGGTGACCCCGCATGAAATGCTGGAAGTTGTGTAGTTTCACACCCGAGGAGCAGCAGGTAAAATGTGATGCTGCTAAGGGGCCAAACGAGGAACCGGACTGCTGTACAGGGGGACACAGAAGAATGAAAAATGTGTGGGACCAAATCACTCTGAAGACGATGCCCCAGAGCGGCTGCCTGGGAACTCCTGGCACCTAAGAGAAGCTCTGGTCTCCAGTCTGAGAAAGCCTGGCTGTTAAGCACTCCCTTTTGCAGAGTGAACTTTCTAGTAGCCTTTCCAAGATAGTCACAGCGTCATCCCAGGATGACAAGGATGTGAGATGGGAAGGGGAGCAGGGCAAGGTCCTTGATGACCAGCAACTGGGCAGAGCAGGAGCGGCAAAGAGCATGGCTCTGGGTGCAGGGCCACACAAGCTAGGAGGGAAGTGGAGTTAAGAGGGAGGTCATGTCCAGTGTCAGACATTGCTCAGAACTCAAGCAACATTAAGAACCTAGAAAGAGACACTAGTTTCGGCAACAAAAAAAGTTCCCCATGACCTTGGCAAGAAGTGGATAGAAGGCAGGCTACAGTGGGCTGGAGAGAGAGAGAACCAAAGAAGTAGAGACACTGACTATGGTTCTAAAGGGGGTTGGGGTGGGAAAGGACAGGGCTTTAGGAGGAGATCTGGGTAGTACGGGGCTTTGTAGGCTTGGTTTTGTATTTTTTTCCTCATTGTTTTTGTTTTTTTAAAAGATGAGGGAAGACACGGTATGTGTTTGCATGTATGGAAAAATGGAGTGAGCCTCCTGAGAATTGGGGCAAGATGGGAAGCAAAGTGGTATCAGAGCAGGGACTGGTCTTAGAGAAAAGGGGTAGGCATGGCTCTAGAGACTGGCTAAGAGGAAAGGACACAGAACAGGACCTCATATCCAACAGCTTCTGAGGACACAGGTGCACCTTTCTAGTGAAACCTTTTCTTTTTCCCTCGGCAGAATTAGAAGTTCATGAATGTATAAGCAGAGAATGAAGAAATACTTTGACAAATGGTAGCTAAGCGTCAACACCTGAGAGGGAAGACTGGTAAGAGACCACGCAGGGCAAGGAAAGAATTCTTGGAGTCAGGAAACCATAATACAACAGTTCAAAATGTAGAATAAGTAGAAGACTTATTCAAGACTTAAATTAAAAAACTCAACCCAGCCATTGTGAAATTGGCAGATGTGGTAAATCAATGTCTTAATAAAGGCTTAGCTCAACAGCCTTGAGCAGGGGCTCTTTAGATTTTTGGTTGTTGTTTTGCCTAAGTAATACATTGCCAGGGTCCAAAACTCAAGAACACAAGGTCCAGGCTGTCTCCACCTCAACCCAGGCCTCCACAGGGCCGTCCCATAGATTTCTCAAGTTCAGTGGGACTAAATGGAGCTCCTCATGGAGAGGGCTCTCACTCCAGGCAGGTGGTGAGAGCAGGCTTTAGCTAGACAACCTTGGTTCAAATTCTAGCTCCAGCACGTACTAGCTGTGTGACCTCAGGCAAGTTACCGTGCTTTGCTTTCAGTTTCCTCATGTGGAAAATAAAGATGATAAAGGTAATTTCATAAGACTGTTGTGAGGATTAGATAGAGTTTGCTGACATGTATCAAGAGTTCTAAACGTTCTAGCTTTTATTATTATCCTCCATTTAAATATTGTTTTTCATCTGTTCCTTGTCAACAGGATTCATTAGGATTACATTAGAAACATACCCAATCAGTGGCTCATCCAGAAGGCAGATTTTCATTGTCCATTTTTGCTCACATTTAATCTCTCACCAAAGCTCAATGTATACGCCTTTCAATCTGCTAACGTGCTCTCCATTTTTACGGCCACCTGCTCTTCAGATCCCTTCCAACTCAGGACTGGATCACTGTGTCATCCAGGCTGAAACCAGAGTAATCGTTCTAAAACAAAATGGTCATTTCTCTTCTCTTCCATAGTCCCCACGATTCTGACAACAACTTCCTTGACAGGGCCTCTAAGATGAAGACCCTTCACGATGGGTGTGCTTTCAATGTGCTCTTTAAACTCCTTATGCCCCATATTAAATTCACCCCATTCCTTAAACTTACTGGCTTCCTGGATCTCCCTCCCTGGTGAATGGTGCCACCTACTGGCCACTCATTCACTCTGACCAGCATGCCCAGCCAAGTGCGCTAATTTTAGATGCCAGGGCTCCTTAGATGCCTCTCCCTGCTTTAGCCACTGTTCCAGTTCTGGCCTTCATTTACTTTACTTCAAATGTCTTCAAACTGGCCTCTTTTACATCCCCCTCCTTCCTCATCTGCTTTCTAAGAGGCTGCCAGGGTGAAATAAATGGCTGGCACGTCACTTTTTTGCTTAAGGACAGAATGCTAAAGAGAATTTCACACAATTCTCTCCTTGAGTTGGCTTGGATGCTCTCCACTCTCATCCCAGTCCCTTCTCACTCCCTAGGTCTAATGTCTGCCTTTCAAAACCGTTTAGATAGAGCTTCCTCCAGGAAGCCTTGTCTGGGACATCCCTCTGTACCTCCAGACCAGGCCAGGCAACCCTTCTGGATGCCCCCACAGCGTCCTGTGCCTCTGTTATACACAGCCCTGGGCAAGCAGCAGGTAGTCGCTAAAGTCTGTGGAAAGAAGAGTGGGAACGGAGGACAAGCAAGGAAGCGTGACATACCACAGTGCCACCGCAGAGACCAGGACGCGGCTCTCTTTTTCTCTCCCAGACCTCCAAAATGACACCACACATTCACTACCCTCTACGGAATTGCTTTGGTAATGGGAGTATTTCATAACAGGATAATAGTGGAGATTAAAAATATTTAAACAGTTTCTGGCACATAGTGTGCAGTCAAGGATTTCACTTGACCAGTAATTAGAGCGCCAACTCTGTGCCAGGTAAGAGTTTGGGCCCTGAGGATACACTGTATTTTCATCAACTCTAAGACACCATTTTATTTTATTTAAAAAAATTTTTTTTTAATGTTTTATTTATTTCTAGGAGAGAGAGAGAGAGACAGCGTGAGCAGGGGAGGGTCAGAGAGAGAGGGAGACACAGAATCCGAAGCAGGCTCCAGGCTCTGAGCCGGCAGTCAGCACAGAGCCTGATGCGGGGCTTGAACCCACAAATCGCGAGATCATGACCTAAGCGAAAGTCGGACGCTTAACCGACTAAGCCACCCAGGCGCCCCAAAGACACCATCATTTTAAAGCTTCCCTATATTTTGTAGGTATAATTAAGAAAAAAAAAAAACAAAAACCAAATGCTACCAGGACACAACTATCAATTATAGGACACATCCAGATTTTTAGAGTGCTGAACTGTGGGAAAGATCATCTTAGATTCAATAAGAAAAGCAGTGATAAACAAAAGAGGCAAAGTCTCTGTTCTCAGGTCACTTCTATTGTAGTGACAGGAGCGGTAATGAATATATATTGTCAGGAGGTGTTAGGTGCTATAATGAAAAATAAAGCCAGCTGAAGGGATACAAATGAAGGGGCTTTATGGGGTAGCCAGGAAAGGTCCTGACGGGGAACTAATAGGAGCAGAGACTCGAATGAAGAGAAGAGTCATGGGTAAACCATGTTCCAAGCAGAGGGAACATCAAATACAAAACACTTGAGAGGGAAATGTGCTTGGTGAGTTCAAGGACAGGCAACTCAAGTGTAGCTGGCACAGTCCCAGACCCTGGGCAACCAATTTCCTCAAGCCCAATGTATTTCATAGACGATCAACTTGTCTGATCTACATAGGGTATATAAAGGAGAGATGGGTTGAGGCTAAGAAGAGTGATGTAACTCAGTGATCAGTAAGGTGGGTGTAGAGTCAGATGGCCTAGATTTGAATTCCAATTCTACCACTTTCAAGCTGTGTAGCCTTGGACAAGTTATCTAACTGCTTTGATCCTTAGTTTCCTTAGCTGTAAAATGAGGAAACAAATAGCAACTGCTTTGCAAATTAGTTATGAAGATAAAATGAAACAATCCTTGTAAATCAGAATAGAAATGATCATTATCATCATCTTCTACTCCAAAGTTATTTTTAAAATTGTATCAGGTAAAAGATAAATAAATTTAAAAAAAAAAAAAAAAAAAAAAAAAGATAAATAAATTTATCTGAGCCTTAAAACATTTTAAGACCACGATTCCAGATTACCAATGGGTAGGATGGCACTCACATTGTTGGGAAAATAATTTTTTTAAGGTTTTGAACTTGCCTTCTCCAAAGTTATTTTATTTATTTATGAGAGAGTGCATGCGTGCAGGGAGGGGCAGAGAGAGAAAGAGACAAAGGAGGCAGGGGAGAATCTTAAGCAGGCTATCATGACCTTGAGATCATGACCTGAGCCAAAATCAAGAGTTGAATGCTTAGCGGACTGAGCCACCCAGGTGCCCCCAAAGTTATCTTTTAAAATCAAAAGTTATCTTCCTATGTAGACAGATTGTTTTTGCAGTATAAATTGATGAAATTAAGTCTCCTCTATTCAATCAGTTAGAAGGTAGATGAAATAAGAAATAAGTACTGCTAAGGGAATTTTATAGCTACTATAGCTTTCTGATTAAATGACATTGCTATGTGCATTATGTTAATACCAAGTCAATTTCCTAAATACATATAAAGTTCTCATAAGTTCAGGGGCTTTTCCATGGCTAGAAAGACCCTGTGTTGCTAAAACAGGAGGCGTATCTGGCTTTTTGTTCCCTCAGATCACATGTTTCGTAGCTTCTCTTAATCAGTCATGAGGTACCACACAATGAGACAGGTCTATCAGAAGTAATGACTTGAAGTTTCAGGCCACAGTAAATGGTGTGAGTTAACAGACTTTGGTTTTCCCAAGAGGCTCTCACCTTCCAAATACTCCCCAAGTAATGAGCCACATTCTCAGGAAGCATCTGACTTTATGATGGAGCTATGCTTATGCGAAGCACTTAAAATTTTTTTGGTTGTTAGTATTTAATGCCATAATGGATGGAACTTAGGTAGAATGAAGAATTCACCAAAATTGTATTTAGCACGTACTAACCTCCAGGAATTCTGTTTGACTTTGGAGACCGGACGCAGTCCTTGCCCTCAACTATGACAGCTTAATAACACATATTTAGTATTGATGCAACTCACTTCACAACTTCTGAGAAAAAAATGCACAATTTCATCTCCTTTATTCTTTCCTAAGAGATATTGAGAAACGGGCAGCAGGCTTTTGAGATATATTATATCTTGACTCAGTCACTTACTAGCACTGGGTGACAGGACAAGGAGGAGCTAGAACAAGTGATCTGAATCCCAGGCATCCTCATCTGTAATATGTATAAAATCCCAGGAATATTAAATGAGAGAACACGCACACAGCTGCTGCATGGCAGAGAGAAGCCGTTATTATCAGCATCATCAGATATGATGTTGGAACTTTACAGTAAACAAGTTTTTTCATCCCTGTTAATTATTGAGCCTTTGGTATGAACAAGGAGAATTTAAAATGTTATACCCCGGGCCCACTACACGCTTTATGCTTAACAACCTTATGCCCCGGGCCCACTACACACTTTATGCTTAACAATCTTATACAATAACCTGTCCATCCCGTTCCCAGACGTGTATCAGGTATTCCAAAGTCTGGTTAAGTTGGACAGACTGGACTACTTCCTGCAGCCTCTCTAGTTAGGGGACTACACCTAAGGATCAATTGAGTGGGGGTGGAAGGCCCCAATTTGGGTTCAGGTAACAACCCTCACGCTGGTGCTCGGCCCCAACCAATTCTAGATAATTCTAGGCAGGAAAGTGATCTTTCCCACAAGACTCGGGGCAGTACAAACGTGAATCCAGGCATGGTGAGTGATGAGAGGCACAGCTGGTTCAGTGGAACCAGTCCCCGTGGCAGGAGGAGGCTGCAACTGTTGCACACCTCACCCCTTCTTTGCTTTCATTTGAGCAACCGTCAGGCTCATAAAAATGGAAAGATTCCTGAAAATCACCTACTTGGGTGAAATGCCCTATAAAGGTTTTTGCAAAATTCATTGTGTGTGTGTCCATTTCTCCGTCGCGTTCTTATTAGATTTTTAAAGGAGTCCATGCCTTGGGGTGGGGGGGAAGATTCGCCGATATATATAGTCTAACTTCCTCCTCACTTAACAGTTGTAGAAACTGAGGCCCAGGCAGGTAACAGCATCTGTCTCAGGTCAAACAACAGAGGCACTAGAGCCATTCCGACTCCGGCCTCACATTCATAGCCCTGATACCTCTTCGCTTCTCTGCAGGCCTTAAAAGATGCCCAGGAGACGACGGCTGGTGTCCGAGCTCTGGAGATGCCGCAAGAGGTCCGCTTCCTTAGCACCGAGGAGACTCTGGCAAGAGATCAGCGGGGCTCCGGTGCCGCGAAGATTCCCCTACGCTGGCTCAGGCACCGGAATTTCCGACGCCTTCGTGACTCCAGGGCGAGTCCGAGCGCAGGAAGACCTCGGGAAGTGAGGCTGCTGAGCAACAGCGAAGAACGGCGCCTACTCACTCACCTGACCGACAGGAGGAAGCGGGCACGCCCCAAACGCGAGTCCGCAGCGAATCCTCCTAGGACGGGGGAATCAGCGAGGAGAATAACAGGAAATGACGTAAGCTTCACGTGCTTCCGAGAGGGGCGGGTGCGGGGTGTTTGAGAGGCAGGGCAGCCGCCTTGCGCTTGCGCAGCCACCGCCTACCGCGCTGCAGAGTCACTGGGCTAGGAGGAGCATGAGCCGGAGGCGGGGCGTGGGCTTGAGTGACGCAGGCGCAGTGCGACCCCGGAGGCGCGGGCTGCCCCCTCCGCGGGTTTGGATCCGGGTCAGTCGGGCGCAGCGATCCGGGAGAGACGAACTGAACCGACGGGACTGGATCCCCGGAGCGCCCCAGCTGCGAGGAGGTGAGTACGTGGACGTGACGGGGAGGGGCCGTGGCACCGCGTTTCGCCCGGCCCACCCGGCCTGGCCGCGGGCGGCTACGTCTGGGCCCGCCCGCCTCTCGTCACGTCGTCCCCCGGCGCTGACTGCCTGGGCCGGGCCGGGCCTGGGCCTGGGCCTCTCCGCGCCCCCTCGGCCGCCGCGGCCTGGCCCGGCCCGAGCTCCGCTGTGTCTTCCTTTCCCGCGCCCCCGTGGACCCCGCAGCGTCCCGCCCCTCCGCTCGCTCCCGTCCGGCAGTAGCTTCCCCTTTTCGCCTTCGTTGGCCGCCCTTTGCCCCTTCCCGCCCTTTCTCGCTTGTTTCCGAGACCCAGCCTCGTTGGCTGCCTCTTCGGCTCAGCTCCCGCCTCCTCCTGCATCCCTTGCGCCTCGGCGCGACTCCAGCCTCCGATCCTGACCCGGGGAGTCTCCAACAGGGGCACCTTTCCAGCTGGAGATCCCGGGCGGACAGAGCTTGGGCCTCAGACAGCACCCCACTTCCCGAGCCTTCCCCTCGGCCCCAGTTCTGACCTTTCCCCGGATCGCGTTTAATCGCGACCGACCCAGTTTTGGGGTTGGGGGCGGGGACAAAATTAACATCGTGCTTTGGCTCTAGCACCGGGAGTGTAGGGGGTGAGGCAGTGTGTAGAAAGAGATGTGCGTGTGTTTTGATCTGGGGGCCAGTTGTTTCTACCAGGACTTGTTTACATCTTAAAGAGTTGCTGGACAGAGTTTTATTTTCCGCGCTCCACGCTTCCCCGTAGGCTGGGAAAGTTTCTAAATCTTTAACATTGTGATGACACGCTTACGCGAGGATCCTTTATTGATTGATCTCAGGTCTTTTCAGGGTCCTGGAAGTTTGGACCTAGACTTGAGGTTAAAAGAGGTCTTGGTTAAAACTACAAGATATAAATAAGATTGTGACACATGCTATTCGTTGATAGAGGAAACCAGGAATTTGCCCTTTTGATGGAGGAACTTAGAAAAATTTTGTCATTTTTGAAAGGTTGGGGAAAATCCGAGGCAAAGTTAAATTGCTCCTTGTGATTTAACTTAAAACAGTACAACGTAACTTCTAATAGGCCTTTGATCTCTTTGGGGATTGTTCCATTTTCCAGAAGTCAGGGCAGTGAAAACGGCAAGTATGTCTCCACAAATTTAATATTAATGAAAAAAGGGCAAACCAATTATAAGTGTCCCGGAGTTAGTTTTGAGTGAATGGGAAACTAGGAATACAGAGGAGCATAATGAGCCTTTTGTAATTACAAACACCCTCTGATTTAGCTCACGTCTAAGACTTATTTATATTTAGTCATGTCTAAAACTCAGCCTTTCTCTGGGTTAATGTAACTGAGGGAAAAGGTGCTGAATCGGAATACTGGAAGTCTGAAAATAGAGCTTCATTCCTAAAATTTTAGTCTATAGCCAGTTTTTATTTTTTGGTCTGTTTTGGTTTTCAAATAATAGATCTTTTAGTGTGCGACAAGAATGTTAACTAAGTTTGCATTAACATTTAGAGGTCACCTGCAGTGCAATTAAGTTAGCACTATATAATTAAAAATTACATATCTGGGTGCAAAGCTGTTTAGCACAAAGTTAGGGCAGGAATGAGAGACCAGTCTTTACACAGCCCTGATACGTGTCAGGGTTATCCTTCAGTTCCTGACATCCAGTCTAGTGGTAAAGCACATGGAGGGAATTCTGTAAATATTTGTGGACAGAATAAATTTCTGCCTATAGAATTCAGTGTGTATTTAGATGTGATGTGTACTGATTTCCAAGGAGTCCTAGAAGAGGTTTTGTGTGGGGTCTTAGGAGGTGGGGAGACTAAGATTGTTTAAGCCAAACTTTAATTTAGTTCTGCCAGCAGGAAGAATCTGTTTACAGTGTACAATAGTACTCTTTTAGGTACTGTGGAGCTTCAAAAATACTAGGATATGTGTTCTTTGCTCACATTTCTCCCCAGATATATAGGATATTATTGTGTATCTGGGGGAGGATCCTGCTCTAAACCCAAAAAAATTAGAAACCAGTGAACTTTGGGATTGATGATGTTTCCTCAAGTTCATATACTGATTAAATAAGCAAAATATGTGGGGAGTGTGTTTAAATTTTTTGACTTAAGAAGTTGCAGTAAAAGCTAGCTGAATTCTTTGGAGACTTTTCCGGGTTTGCCAGAGAGATCTGCCTAGAATACGTTCTTCTACATGTGAGTAAATGAATACGTGAAATGAAAGGAATAGTCTTAATTTCTTGCTTTTTTATTCTACCACTGTCACTACATGATTACATTATATCAAACATATTATGACACTCTGACCTTTGGAATATTAGAGGTCTCACAATAACCTCACACTCACCCCTGAGAAATGAGCAGATAAGGAATCAGAAGTTAGAAGGGTCCACAGAAAGGCACTGCTCCTTCTGAGAGTGCTGTAGGGGGAGAGGGGAGGGTACACCTCTTATGGGGTGTAGAGGTAGGGGGTTAGATGGGGTTAGCAGGTTAGAAATAAGGAAGAGGTAAAGTTAATCCTTTACTTCACAAATCCGCTGTCTTCTTTTTTTTGTTTGTTTGTTTTACCTTTTTAAATTTTTGATTCCCTGTGGTATGTTCATAGATAATGATTTATTTTTTGTTCAGATTTGATATTAGCTACTTTATTGCCTTGAGTGAAATCAGGAAACTAGATTTCGAAGGATTTATTAACAGACTTCTCTGTTGTGTCTCTTATTGCTTTAGTTAGGCCCTGTTTCCCTTTTCTTTCTTTAAATATAAAAGTCAAGGTGGATGAATGGAGAATTCTCATTAATCAAACTGGTTGATTAAGTGGAGGTCATTTAATGGTGCCTCTATAGAAAAATAATTTCTCTATATCTTTTTACTTCCCACCTTTTTCTTTTGGCTAACTTTGTTCTATTTATCTTTTTGAGTTACAAGCATAGTTCATTTATTTTCTCTCTAGTGTAATGATTAAAATGCTTCAAAGCTAATAAAAATGAAGGTATCAACCTTGGTAGAGTGTGGAATAATCAATAATCATTGACACATACTTGTAATGCTGTTCTAACAATGGTGACATCTTGATATGTGAGTATGAATACTTGAATGTGAATATTGATCTCATGGTCAGAATTGCTTTAGAGAAATGTTGTGTGTCATGAAGTTATACTTAACCGGAATTGTTAGGGTTGGACTACACAAATACTTGGTATCATTTTAAAGAATTGGGAGTGCTATAGGTTGAACTTTTTACTTCTGTATTTCTAATGCAGAGGACATTTTGTTTGTGGGTTTCTAGACCTCTACAACCAGATAGATTTTTACCTTTCTGTTAAACAGTGTACTTAAACAGATTTCAGGTGATCTGGTTTCCAGAACTGTGTAATAGAATGTTGGCATCAAGTATTTGGTCAGTTTAAATTCTATCATAATAATTGAGTAAGATACAGAATTGTCAAATCACTGTGTTGTACACCTGAAACTAATATAACATTTGTGAACGACAATAAAAAAAAAGTCTATTCTAGTAAATATGTTTCTGTATCATTTCATTTGTCTTTTCTTAATAAATAAAACCTATAGCCTCTAATTGTCTACACTGAAACTTTACCTTTTAAAAATAGAAATTTGCTTTTTTCGCCCTAACAGGCAGAAATCGTATAAGGAATATAGATTTTTAACAAAAGGTACACTTTTGAACTGCCTGTTTTCATTTTGTTCATTTTATTTTTCAGTATTAACGGCAACATCCATAGTAGTGTAAAAACTTTCACAATGAAATCTGAAGCCAAGGATGGAGAGGAGGAGAGTCTACAGACCGCTTTCAAGAAATTAAGAGTGGATGCCTCAGGGTAATTAAATACGTAATATATTATTTGGAGATGTTTACTAGATTTGAATAGCCTTTTCCTCTGAAGAAGATATTGTTTTCTTCTAAAATTTCTCATTATCCATAGAAGATAAAAATGCTAATGGTGTGACATTCTACCAAATTTTGCACAGCTTTATTTTACTTATAAAAGAGACTCTTAACATTACATTTTGAAAAATAGCAGCTCATTTGTGCTCCAGGCTGGGTGTTTTGCTTTCCCTTAGCTTGGAGGAGGCTTCCCCACCTCTGTCTTTCATCAAAATTATCAAGCAGCGTCCCTTTGGGAATTTCCTCATACATCTCTAGGGAATCACAGTATTTTTTCCCTAAAAGTGAATTGGCTCAATAGAAATCTGCAGACATTCTCGATTTCATGGGCTCTGATTGCTGAGCCTATCACTATGGAAACCTCTATTCATTAGGGTTCTGTCACTGAGATCAATAATCTTGGACCCTTTGGCCAAACTAATTAGAGCACCTGCAGACCAGCTGCTGTCTGAATGTTAATATTTCACCCTTTGCAAAATGTTCTGTGCAGGACTCTTTTCATCCCCATTCTCCACCCCAGGCCAGAAAAAAATCTCAAATTTTTGGTAGATATGGAATATTCCTTTTTATGAATGGAAAATAAACACTGGAAGCTGAGAGTGGAACACTTCACAACAAGTAATAATCACTGAAATTTGTCACTCACTCACTGTGCCCCAGACACTGGTTTAAGCATCTGTGCAC